TTGAAGTTGCCCCTTTATTTGCCACAGCTTCCCTTTCAGCCTTTCGAATTCTCTGTTGCCTTCGCCACTGAGATCTTGACATGGGGTTTATTCCTTTGTAGTTCTCTAATCTCACCTCTTCCCTCTTCGCTATGTTGAACTGCCTTCTATATGTCATAGCATGGCGTGCGTTTCGTTCATTGTTTCTCCATTTATCTTTGCCTTTGTCATTTCTAACTTGCAGCCATTTGTCTGTTGGCACTTCAGCAGGGATTTTGAACGTCACTCTTCGAGCGCCCTTGGGATGAGGACTATCAGGCCTTCGTTGATTGTATTTACTATCGAAACATGGGCCCATCTGAACAGTCTCTTGGTGGTTCCAGCAAGGGGCGAAAGGGATTGTTTCGAAGGCTCTGGCCATGCTTTTATCATACACAGCGGAACACCTTGGGCATATCAAGCACTTGGTTACCCCTTTGTAGCTTCAAAGCACAAATTCCAGCAAACTTTCTCCAGCCTTAGGATAACACCTGAATAACTGGTTATCCTGGCGCCAGTTGTTGCCAGTTCGCGCCCTTTGTACCCTTTCGAAGTTTGCAGCGATTCTCTGGTTGCAGAGGATGCTGCACCTAGGGCATAGTATCATTCCTGTATCTCCTTTGTGGCACATCATGAGGTAATCCTTAAGGCTAGCATCTCCAGCATGATTATCCTCCATTTTATACTTTTCTTTTTCTAAGTATCTCTCCACCTCCTCCATTTCAGAACGAGGTCTCTCCATATCCACCATGTTTACCTCAACATCCTCCCCCTTAGTGTCATCATCTCCCCATCCTGTAGGTTTTATATCTTCAATTTGGACCTTTGAACTCTCTGGGGCAGAATATTTGACCAAGTAGTCAAACTTTCCACTGGGTTCCCCTAAAGTATCCCATATTTCTTTCTGAGGGGAAGTTGGCTTCGTGATTTGGACTTTCTCCAATTCTAGCCTCAGGCCTTCAGTAACCTGTGTCAACTCTTGGTTTGGGTTTTCCTGGCCTTCAGTAGCCTGGATTTCTTTTGCAACAGCTAAAGGTGCTGCTTCGATCGAAGTCTCTGGTTGCTTGTGGACGTCTTCAGTGACCCCGTTATTGACTTTGACTATCACCCAGCTTTCATTTTCAGTATCTTTCTCTCCTACTGGAGCGTCACTTTGGTCAGCTTCCACCATGTTAATTTCCCAAATGCATGCAGGCTCGAAGTAATTGGTGTCTGCGACATCCAAAGGATCTTCATCTACTTTCATTTTTGCTTTATCAGCGAACTTCAGTCTGCCATCTTTAATTGCATTCTGAATTAGGTCCCTGAAAAGAAAACACTGTGAGGTTTTTTGGCCTAGGAAACTATGATACTTGCAAAATCCTCTTTTCTTTCTTTGATCTAAAGGAGGTATTTTAACATTTGATGGCACAATGAGTTGGCCATCTTTGACAAGTAAATCAAAAATCTCGTCACACTTAGTGACATCGAAGGTATAAACCTTCTTTGGGAATTTGTCACTTTTCTCATTTTCAACAATTTCTTTCCCTTTTGTGGGAACTAATAATTTGCAGGAGTAAGGTGGTGCCTGTTTTAATTCAGCGAGGTCGATTTCAACCTCTTCAAATTCGAATTTAGGATAATCTTATGTTTCCTCAGTTCCAACATAGGAGATCCTTTCCTTCTTGTTATTTTTAAAGACTCTGGCCTTTTCGGCCTTTAGCCTTTCGACCTGTCGAACCCTATCGGCTAATTGGGCCATATCCCTCAAGTATTGAGTGTCTAATTTCTTTCGAATAGAGTAATCCAGGCCGCCAGCAGCCATTTCGACTAACTCATGTTCAGGAACTACTGTAAAACATCTAGATTTCAAGAGCCTGAATCTATTCAGATAATCATCTATGGGTTCAGTGAACTTCCTCTTGACACTGGCTAGTTCCTTCAGACTTATATTTGATTGTCCCATGTAGAACTGTTCATGGAATAATCTCTCCAAAAGAGCCCAAGTATCAATGGACCCAGGAGGCAAAGTGGTGAACCATGTGAAAGCGTTCTTAGTCAGGGAACTTGGGAAATATTTGATCCTAAGGTCTTCATTATTGGCTATATCTCCCGCTTCGGTTAGATACCTGGCTATATGTTCGACTGTTGACTCATTGGTATCCCCAGCAAACTTTGTAAACTTAGGGACTTTATATCCCCTTGGTAAATCAGTGTGCATTATGTAATCTAATATAGGGGAGGCATAATTTGGCCTTCTAATTCCTGTGTTGAGGCCATTCTGGGCCATGATTCTCTCTATCATGGTGGTTAAATTATTTTCTGCCAAGATGTTATCGTTTCGAATTCTATGAACGACTGCATCCGCATCTTGATTTCGACCCACCATGACAACCCCTCTAGGTTGTTCTTCTCGAAACTCTGGGACTTCTAGCCTTTCGACCCTTGCCCCTGGTTCCATAATTTCCCTTTGTGGGCCTTGGATCATTGGGGCTTCTAGCCTTTGTGCCCTTGCCCCCAAATTAACCTCCTCTCTGGCTGGTCTATAGGGTGGGTCGTTAGCAACTTGTTCTATAATAGGTACGTTCGCTCGAACTCCCGCCTGATTCTGCCTACGCCTCTCTGGGGGAGCGAAGAAATCTGCTATTCGACTCATGTTATCTGCGTTTTCTCTGTTTATCACAGTCACATTTTGTACTATTGGGGCAAATATCTCCTGCATAGTTTGTGCTAATACTCCTATCATATTATGGTTACTGTTATCCATTAATTGCCTAAAAGCCAACTGGTTTTCTGTGGTTAAGATAGGAATTGCACTATAACCCACTGACCCTTGGTTATTTGTCATAAACTGATTTTCCCCAGACCCAGACCCTAATTGTGGTGATGAATTCGATGTGGAATTGTGTAAGCCTGCCATAAAAGATGTTGGCATTCCATAAGAGGAATTTATGGTTCTATTACCATCGAAACCGAGTGGTCTAGTTAGTGGGGTGGCGAAATGGGTTTGTGTCCCTGATGGTGGGACGAATCCCCCAGGATAACCAATGGTTCCAGTATTTCCTAGGATCGAACTGTTAGTTGATATGCCACTTGTTCCATTAGTGGCTATATTACTGGTAGAGGATGCAACAGACTGTGCATTCGAAGGGATCACATTAGATGTTCCCATCGAGGCGGAGATATTAGTGCCTGTTGTATGTGGGGCATTTTGTTCCCCTTGTTGATTGTCAGAATTAGACATCTTGTTCAAACATTTTCTTCTGGATAAGGGTTGGTTGCTATTGGTTATTCTACCACTTCTAAGGTTCATAAAACAACAAACTTATCACTCAGAGAGTATTTTTACAATGGTTATGTCTCAAAATTTTTTACTTTGTTCTAAATTCCGTAATGGCCAATGACGCGTCCCATCAGGTGTGCCAATTTGTTTACAGTTATTTCTGGTAAACAACCGCTAGTCCTCCAAACTATCGAATAATCTTAATGACTGTTATTCAATCTCTCTGGTAACTCGCATGATCGACTAGATTGATCCTAGGATGTATTGGTCATTTGGATAACTCTCATTATAGAACTGGTATTCATGGTTGGTATTTAGAATGTTGTGTAGGTATTTAACTTACTTCGATTACTCTATTAAAGATCTAAAGGCGTGATCAAGTAAATGCGCGTGAAACTAAATTGCATGAATAAAGTTCAATTGTAAAGACATGTAAAACTGTAGAAAAGACAAGTAAATGACTTCGAAGCATAAAAACATGTATATAAAAGCGTTTCTGGAATGCAAAAGTTTCGAAATATGAAGAAAGCGTTTAAATGCAAGAAAACAGTAAAATGACTTTAAATGAAAAAAGGTGTTCAAATGATAAAGGCATGAAGATAAAGGCATGAAATATACAAAAGTTTATGAAATGTAAAGTATTTGAAATGGAAAGAAAACATTTAAATGTAAGGCATCAGTAAAAAGACTTCGAATGAAAATATTTTAATGCAAAGGCTTTTGAATGGTATTGACATGAAGATAGAGGAAAATACTGGAAATGATAAAGAGTTTTATTAAATCATAAACACTTGGTGTTATCATACGTACATTGCTGGTGCATTCGTTTCCCTAGCCATGTGGTATTTTGAATGTTTACTGAGTTTTTTTGTACAATAGATATGACACACGAAATCCTAATGCTAAGACTTCTATTTATACTACTTCGACCATAACGGTCTTGCTATAAGATTCTGCCACATTCAGAACATGTAAAGCAATGCCTCTCTCTAGCTTCCACGCGTCTTCCAGCGTATATATTTTAAATTTCGAACATCCCGCTTGCATTTGAATTTCAAATGTTTTGGCACTTCTTCGCTTCGAACGCATTTCTTGGACACAGCCTTGTTACCACTTCGAGACTTCTTTTGAAGATATCCTCATAACTGTCACTCGAAGCTCCAAGCTTTGATATGCCCATTCGAAGTACTGCTTCTACCATTTCGAAACATGACATCTTGCTTTATTCCAATCGAAACATCCAACTTGCTTTGCTTCGAACAATATCATCAAAATCTTCAGCCAACACTCACGAGGATCAGATAAACTTTGCATGGCAACTCAATAGTCACATTGATAGATGTAAAATTATTTGTATCAATTGGAAATTCAAACGAAACTGTTGGGAAAAACATAAAATATTTAAATATGTTTTACCTTCGAACAAAGGGAGCATCACAATTCGATTTCTTTTCCTATTCTCTCTCTATCTCACGTCACTCTCCCTTCTTTTTCTTTTTATTTTTAAACAAAAACAAACACATACAACATAATCAATCTTCCATTTTTTTATCACACAAAACCTAAACACAATTAAAAATAAAATATTAACCAAAAAAGAATAGGGTACAATCAGAATTGTAGCTTTGTGTATGAGGTGTGCTCACGGTGGTTAGTTCAATCTCTGAGTGAGTGGTTGGAGTCCATACGCTAGTGTCCCGACACACGACAGCGAAAATAGCTACGAATCAGCGGCGAAGACGGTGGCTCGTGGTGGCGTGAAGGTTGATGCATAAGAGGGAGTTGTGCGGCTGAGAAGCTTGCATCGAGATAGAACAAATGTTTCATCTTTGATGTCGGTGTTGGAGTGGAGGCTTGGTGTTGTGCATTCAGAACCAACATCTTCTTTTTTTATCCATTCTTTGTATTCTTTGAATTCACTACAACATTTAGGCTCTCCAGCAACAATTGAAAAACGTTGCCAGAACTCTGAAAATCGTTGCCTAAAACAATAGGGGACGTTTTCTAGGCGTCTCCTGTGCGAGCGTTGCCTATTGTTTGAGGCGACGTTTTTTTATGCTTTTTGGAAACGCTTTTGAAAAACGTCGCCTATAGTAAAGGAATAGGGGACGATTATTTACGGCCTCTGAGACAACGTTTTTTAAGCGTTGCGTTGCCAAATTCGGCTACAATTAACAATCGTTGCCTTAAACCTGAATCAGGAAGATCGTTTTTGAAGTGTAGCCATAGCTTATAGGTTGTTGTTTTATAGTGTCCACATAAAATATACAATTTTGCAATTATTATCAAAATAATATAGTCAATAATAATTGGCTTCAAAAATAATATTGATTATATAACTTAAACCATACATCCATAAAAGTTGTAATATAATAAAATCGAGTTCAAACTTTAATTCAAGATATAGTATATAGAGTACACGAAATGCCTAACGTAACAATATTACTTTTAATACTTTGAAGTATGACCCTAGTAAAATAACTAAAAACATAGTTCAGCAAAAGAACAAAAATCATATTTCAAGTTTAATGCTTTCAACTACAAGCCAAAAAAAAGACATCATCCAACTCATTCAAGTTTGTCTTCTAGGAGTAAAGCATCCAGACCGTCCTCTTGAAATTCGTTAGATATGTCATCCTCCATAAATTCTTCATCTACGTCGTCCTCTTGAAATTCACCATCTATATCCTCCTCTTGAAATTCATCATCTAGATCTATGTCATCCTCTTGAAATTCGTCATCTACGTCGTCCTCTTGAATTTTATCATTTAGGTTGTCCTCTTGAATTTTATCATTTATGTCGTCCTCTTGAATTTCATCATTTATATCGTCCTTTTCAACATCTTCATTGATACATTGCTGCATAAGAAAATAAAATAAAACACATTAACCATAAGTATTTTTGGTCCAAAGGACAATTAAGACATCAACAAGAATTAAACCTCGCACAAATAAAAACTAAACCAATAAGCAAAACACATTGTTTATATTCTTCACATCACATGGATGTGAATTAATTATGAAGGTTTTTAATGGATGTGAATTTTCGTTCTAAACTGTAATAGGTGACATGAGCTTACTAGCAAATAAATCAATTATGAAAACCATTCTGTTTTTGGCTCACTATTCAGGACTTACAATAGCCTTTAACTGTATGTATGTATGTATGTATAACTTGTGCTATCCTTTTATGTTTATTTTTTGGAGTAAATGAACTCTGATGAACACTCTTACTTGTTGTATCTTCTTTGGTGTTCAGTATGTAAATAATACATGAAATCATTATTATGAAATATGAAACGAATTACCTTTTTCTTCTTCTCTATTTGTGATTGCATCTTCTTCGTTGACTTTTGCCCGATTTTGAACACTTTCTTGTCGAGTTCCTTTTTTTGATTGATTTTGATTAGAGCTACGGTTAACGCTGCTGCCCGGTTTTTCACCATTGATTGACTTGGTTGCATCCATTTCCTTTGACTTGTGAAGATCTACATAATCATCAATCAACATTGATGGGCATTTTGGCACCCTGTTTAGCTTTTGAGAGCATTCAGCTTTTGACATCATTGTGTCCAAAGATAGAGTTTTCGGCACAACAACATGAAAACTTAGCAAATAAGTTACATACCTTGCTCTAGTCATGGCCACATTGGTTCTTTTCCGATTTGAAAGAAAACCGACTTTTCCACTCCCATTTGATCTAACAGTAGACATTATTATAATATCTTCCTCTCCACCTTGAAAACCGTCAATAGAACGAACACTCACAGAGAAATCAGTATCAGAAACAGAAGTGTACTCCTTAATTTTGTCCTGGATTGCATAGACTTAAGCATTATATGGAGAGATAACTCCAATGCTAACTTTCTCTTGTGTCCTCTTAAACTCTAAAATTAAGAACATACACATATTAATTATACACATATTAATAGAAAACATAACCACAAATGGTAAAGAGAATAATAACCTTTTTTGAGGTTTTTAATCATCTCAGAAATGACAGCAACCTCAACCATGTTCATCAAGCTGTGTCCGCGGCCAGATTTCTCCTGACCCTTAGCAATGTTAATAAAAGAATAAGACGAATATAATTCTCCTTCAAGGAAACTCTTATTGTAGCTTTCTTCCATAACAAAAGGGGCATCTGAGATCTTTTGATCATAGAACTCTTTGCATGGAAATAAGCTTATGTTTGGATGCATTCGATACTGAACATTAAGCATATGTTTCTTGTACCCTAATATTACCAGTCTCTCAAACATACTTCTTCCAAATCCACAACTATCAGCAATCTAAAAAAAATTCAAACATCATAAACATACTTAATTAAAGGCAAAAAAATTAAAGATACAATAAAACTAAATTCAATAATCAGGTACCTTGCTTTTCACCAGTGCTGGCAGTTGCTTCTCATCACCTATAAGAATGCAATGCTGAAGACCAGGTAGCTGTAAGGGGATTGTGGATTCACACTCTTTCAACTGGGCCGCTTCGTCAATTACTAGAAACTTTACCTGAGTCATTCCTTCAGTGTAGAGTTTAATAGAACTAGAAACAGTGCACAAAACCAGACATGCATTGGACAAGCAAAACTTTTCTATTTGATTTCTCCCATTGAGTTCAGGAAGCAAAATAGAACTGGAAAGCAAAGTGAGTATTTTCAAGAAATCATCAATTTCAGAGTTTGATGGTAGAAAGCAAGAAGGAATTATGTCTTCCTGTGATACCAACACAGCTTGAAACAACTTCTTTCTGTGAATCATTCAAATTTTGAGAACGAATTATGTCTTCTTTAGTGTAAGAATATTGACTACAAAATTTGCAGTTTTCTCCACCCTGAAACACAAAAGCAAGTATAAAAAAATGTTACATTCATATATAATCAAACTGCATAAAAAAAACTCCATTGTTCTAAACTAGATATGAACTAAAATTTGAACACGACTGAGTTTGCCTTATTTGAACTGAGAAACTAACAAAGAAAACAAATGAAAAAATGATTCTTACATCATGACAAGGCCGCAACACTTTTTTAATAAGGCCAAGGTGGTCACCGTCTGATTGTGAGTTCAAGGCTTTCCAAATACGAACATTTGTTGTCATGTTCATAAGATAAACTGCATACATTTTCAGGTAAAATAAATAATATGGGGGTATTATTGTCTTTGTCGCTTCACCGGTAGGTTCTGTGAGCCGGAGTATACATACAACTCTCAGCAAACTTCTCCAAATCTTTCGGCTGAGGAAGACGAGTCGCCAAACCTATAACAAAAACACAAACTCAGTTATTATGATAAGTGATTATCCAATAAGCGCTTAATTAAGATGTTTATTCTTAAAAGCTCACCAAGCTCATAAGCCTTAGCAGCAACTTTGGCAGCAATGTGAGCTGAAATCTTTCTGATGTTTGTGAATGGTGGAAATATCAGACCCTTCTCAAAGTTTTCTTCTGTTACTTGTTCAACCAATGCCTCAGCTGTTACATGAATTCTATTACTACATTTGCTTATAAAATGTATGTATTTTGATTCTATGTTTTTGCGAACTTACATGCAGCCAGAAGAAGATCGTCGTGCACGTGAATGGTACCAGACATTATTAAACCTAGGCCAAACCCAGGGAATATGTATGCATTATTCGACTGAAAAGCAAAACAAATCCAATTTAGTCAAATAGATATAGTTATTCAATGAATCTACAAAGTCGAAATTCACTTATAATAAGGAATGGAGGAAGTATAATGTTAGTGAAAATAATATCGGAGCTTGACCTGGCCAGGCACGAACACTTTGCCCTTATATTCGACTGGCGGAAATGGGCTCCCACTTGCAAAAATCGCGCGCCCCTGATTCGTTGGCAAGGGAAGAAAAGAAAACAGAATGGTCAACGTTGATCCAAGAATAAGATTAAATTTCAATGCAAAATATAAGTTGGTTCTTATTACCCTGCTCCACAAGTAAGCTTCTTCTGCTGTACATTCTGATTGTGATGTTGGGTTGGGAAGAGCCAGAATAATCGGTTTCTACAAGTATCATCAAACAAAATAACATTACTCAACTTATTCAGACATGAAGTTGCGTTGGAGCTACTAGATGATTTGATCGACAAGGAACGGTACCTCGTTAAGAGAAGCCATTGCCTCAACCACCTCTTTGGTAAAAGTTTTTCCTTGGCTCGATGTTCCGATAAGCACTGTTGGCTTAATTTTCTGAAAAGAAAACATTGAAAATGTAAGAAAATCGAGACTTCTGTTGTGTAATGTGTATACACGCATATGTCTAAGTGTAAGAAAACATTATATTATATGCATAAGCCATGCTATTTATCCAATGTTTCGGCCAAATTATATGAGTTTTAGTCATCTGCACAAGCCATGCTATCTCAAATAAAATATATGGCTACATAACAATTCATTAACTTCAAATTGGTTACCTAAAAAATATACAAAACTATAGAAATTGATTAGTAAAAATTAAATGATAAATGACTTTTCTATCTTAAGAGCTGCACGCATTTGAAATGATTGAACCTAAAAGCTCTAATCCATGAAGTCATAATATAACAAAAGTATGCTATTAAACAAAACTAACTTGGAGAAATTTATTAACAGCTGGGAACAAACCTGAGGTGTATTACAGACGGAACCGTTAACTGTAACCTTGCCTTCAAAAATAAGCTCTTCACAGCTTCTCCTGGACGCAACTGAAAACAAAACAGCTTACTTATAATCAATTTTGATTCTGTTGTTAATTCTCTTTTACTACATAAAATCATCAAATTGTCATTATAGTCCAAATACTACTAAATTGTCACCTCCAGAAGCAGCGAGAACCTTGCTGAGACGCGTACCGGAGTCCTTGAATTTTTCATTGTAGAATCTCCTTTCCGCTTTGGAATACTGCGGCGGCGCCACCTCACAGACCTTAGTTTCCTTTTCATTTTTCTTCTTGGCTTTCACAGTTTGGTTCTTCTCTGATTTTTTGGTACCTGTTGAGGCATTGGTCATGGCTTTGAGAAAGGTTGGAGGAGATTCAGACGAGAGTTTGAAGTTTCCATCTCCGCCTCGAACATTCCACGGGATGGTGTCACCGTCGTCGGGGAAATGGTTCGGGTTATCGAGTTTAGGGTCGGGTTTAGGTTTAGGGTTGGAGGGAGAGAAGGAGATGTTGGATTTGAGAGGAGAAGAGGGGAGGGAAGAGCAGGTGAGGCGAGGGAGAGTGCGGAAGGAAGAAGTGAGTTTGGTTGATTTGGTGAAATAGAGTGCCGTCATCGCCATTGTTGCCGCCGAACCCATTGTTCTGGCGCGGCGGCGGTGGTGGTGGTGGTTTTTTAAAATTGCAGAGAAATGGAAAAGAAATAGTAGTGCTCTAGTTTCTATCTTATCCGTTGGGTTTGCATTCGGAGTTTTGTTTAATTTTTTATATATATATATAATTTTTTATTTTCTGTTTAATTGAAATTTTTTATTTTTAAATTCCTGTGTTAGAAAAATATTTTTTTTATATATATTAATAATGTTTAGAGAAAAATATTTGTTTTTTAGTGTATAAGTTTTGGAGGGAAGATTGCCACCAAAAATTTGATAATTCTAAAAAAAATTTTACAACATTTCAGAAATGTAGTCTTTTATTAGAATTAATGTAACAATCTAAAAATGTCCCCAAAAATATTTTAGGGGACAATTGTCAAACATTGCTAAAGAAATAATATTTTAACACTCTAAAATCGTCCCCAAAAGCAGTTAAGGGCACAATTAACAACCGTTGGCAAAAAAATAAAAGAGTATCGCTCCATAAACGTCCCCAAAAGTATTTTAGGCGACAATTATCAAGGGTCGCAAACATATTTTTGACAACAATCGTAAATCGTTGCCTATATGAATTTAAGGCAACAATTTCTACATGTTACCTAAAAAAGTGTTGCCAGAGACAACAAATGTTGTAGTGATTCTTGGGTTGTTTGGTTGATGTCAAGTCTTGGGGCATAAGTTATGTGTGACTGGAATAACTTGCTTGATCTTATGTAATTTAAAGCAAGAAAAGATTTGATTATATTGATTTAATTGTATCTACTCAGTCTCTAAAAAGTGTAGCCGTGGATGATGCTGATATTTTTGGATGCTTTTTTTTAGTATCAATATGATGCTTTTTGGTGATCTCACAGTGAATCACGAACCACACAACCACCAAACGTTAAAACGCGTTACTTTGGCAGAACTCACGCAACCGAAAAATTGCTCACCATTCCCACTCAATTACACTGTCATTGTAACCACATGACATCCAACATCACGTCGAATGTAACTCCCTGCTTTCATTTATTTAATTTTATAAGTAAATATTAAGTGTTTTCATGTGATTACAAACAATTGTGGTATTTTGATGTGTTGCAATGCTTTTGTGTATAGTAGTTACCTTAGAAAATGAAGAAATAAGGTAGGGAGGGTGTATGAGTAAAAATGTAGAAACATAGGGGTGGCATGAGAGTGTTAGTTTAATATTTTTTATTAATTAAAATAAAATAATAATTATAGTTTATTTAATTATATTATTATTATTTTAATAGGGAAGGGCATGGTTGGAATAAGATATTAGGGGTCCAAGGGTTAGATAAGTCAAAACAAGATAAAATAATAGTGTTTTTGGTTTATCGATCGTAGAAATGAGAGAAGCAGACACGATAAAGAGGAAGAGCTAGGGCAAGAGAGAACCCATTGTTGAATCTTGAGGAACCTACAATCTAAGGTAACAGTGGGGTTCCAACTTTCTAAATGAATGATATAATGATGGGTATGTGGGGTTTGAATTTGCCATGGTTGTCATTGTATGTTCTTGTTCATATTTGTGTTCTTCTTGGTTTTTGGATTGATTGAATGCCCCTATAATTAAATTGGTGAAATTGATGTCTTGGTTTATATGATATCGATGTGTGTTGATGGTGATAAGAATTTGGGGTTTGCTTCTGTAATTGATATTATGGAATGAGTATAAACCTTGTGTAATATGTATGTACGAACCATGGAATTGAGAAACATGTTTTCGATTGCAAATTGGGTGTTTTGGGGAGGAAATAAGTGATATACGTACCTTAAAAACAACAGAAAACTGCTTCTGGGTAACTGAAATTGGTTTCCCTGTTTGAGGAAACCGATTTCTTGAACGAAAATTGCGAAAAATGGCACTAGGAGTGTGGAAACCGGTTTCCCAGTTTGAGAAAACCGATTTCCTAACACCAGACAAGTTTTTTTAAAACTTGTGAAATTCATAATTTTTTACTCAGGTGTCCGTTTGACGCATTGTGTTATTTCTCTGAAATTATAGTTGGCTTACATTTTGGTAAAACCATTTTAGCAGCAACATGTTGAATAAGATGTTCCAACATTTTTTCTTCAACGCGTCGAGTAAGATGTCCCAACAAGGAGATAAGACATCGTGTCTACAGCAAGCTGATAGTTGCGAATCAGCTAATTTTTAGCTATTGAATATTCTGTTAATTTATTTGGCGTCCAAGATTGACAAGTCAGTGTATTCAGTGATTGGTTTTCAAATATTTGATTAGTTTCTAAATATGGAGACATTTTAGGAAAATAAGGATTGAAGACCTATTTTCTTGGAGGAGTTTTTGTAGACTTTGTGCAGCCTCATTGTTACAGTTTTGAAGCCCAAACTAGTCCAGAATAAAGTTATAAATGTACTGGTGTATACCTAGTTTTAGGTGGAACTTACGAATGTATTTGTGTTAGGGTTTTTAGAATCCTTATTTGTTGGTGTAAGTTCTCTGTTAGATGTTCATAAGCTTTTAAGCATTAAACATATTGTGTGTTAATTCTCATAAGCTTTTAAGCATTGAGTCTTGCGTGTTTTGGAAGTATAGCTTCAGGTTTGTTTTTGTTCTCTACTTGTGTTTAGAGTTGCTCTAATTGCTGAGTGCAATTAAAGATGGATTTGAGGAGGGCTTCACACCTAGGTGTGTCTTAGGTAGAAGTTAAGAAAATGGTAGTGATTAAGTGTGTAGACTATAAAATGGAGGTTTGTTGTAAAGTCTGCAAATTGACACTATCTAGTTAAGTCCGTCCCTAGCTTGGTAGCCCCTACAGTAGGAAGGTTGTTCCGAACTGGGTAAATATATCTTGTGTTATTTACTTTCAGCATTGATATTTTGTTTATACATCTTATTGTTGTGTGTGAAGTCGGATCCGGTGTCTCGACATCTCATAGAACATTCGGGATCTAATAGCCAAAATTTCAATTGGTATCAGAGCAGTATCAGAGCAGGCATCCTGCTCTGACTCTGGGTGAGATTCAGGGAAGTTACTTTCTGGTGCAATGGACATGGATGGAAGAACTATGGTTAAAATACCAGTTCTGGATGATACCAATTAAGACAGTTGGAAACCTCATATGGAAATATTTATAAAGTCCTTGGGGGACAAAGCTTGGAGAAATATTGTCAAAGGTTGGGATCCACCGAAGGTGTTGGATGCAGGAGGGAAGGCCACTGATGTGCTGAAGCTTGAAGAAGACTGGGATGATAATGATGAGGCGTTATCACAAGGAAACTCCAAAGCATTGAATGCCATATTCAATGGAGTTGATAGAAATATTTTCAAGGTGATAAAGAATTGTAAGCATGCAAAAGTTGCATGGGAGACCCTGAAGAAAGTGCATGAAGGAAATCCTAAGGTTAAATTGGAAAAGCTTCGGCTTCTCTCCTCCACATTTTAAAGCTTGAAGATGAATGAGGATGAAAGTATCTAGGACTTTCACATGATTGTTCTAGATATTGCTAATGACTCCGAAGACTTGGGAGAAAAGATATCATAGGATAAGCTGGTCAGAAAGATTCTTAGATCTCTTCCCAAGAGATTTGACATGAAGGTGATTGCTATTGAAGAGTCCCAAGATTTAATCACTATGATAGTAGATGAACTTGTAAGTTTACTTAAGACTTTTGAGTCTGCTATTAATGAAATATATGAAAAGAAGAAGACCATAGCTTTTACTTCTAGTGCTGAAGACTTAGAGGATAAAGGAAACATGAACTCAGAAGGAATTTCATAGGATCTCGTGCTGCTGGGAATACAGTTTAGTAGGGTGCTGAGGAAGTTTAGGTTGGGTGCTAAGAACATGTCATACGACATGAACAAAAACCCGGACCTGGGAAGAAAGTTAAGATTTGAAGAAAATCCAAACCAAGGGAAAGGTGTTCAGTGTCATGAATGTGAGGGATATGGACACATAAGAACTGAATGTGCCACCTATCTCAAAAAGCAAGGAAAGAATTTGTTTATGTCGTGGTCTGATGGAGAATCTGAAAGTGATCACGAGGAAGATTCAGCCAAGCAGATGTCTGCCTTGACTGGAACTTATGGAACTAATAAAGAATCATGTGAATCAGAAAAATAATCATATGTTGGAGAACTCATTGTTAGTGAACTGGATGTTGGGTAATCAGAGTTGTGCCTCAAGAATGAAAAATTGTGTCAGAAAGTATTGACACAAAATTTTGTCATTACTCAGCTAGAGTCTGAGAAAGAATAGAATTTATCTATCATTGCTAATCTTAGAGAGGAGAATATTGGTATGTGAAGGGTCTTGGTTTTAATAACCAAAATGTGAAGAAAAACAAGCAAGTATTGGAGTTTTCTTCTTAAAAGATGAAGCATGATCTGAAGATGTCAAGGCACATGCTCCAACATCAGTCAAGACATCAGGGAAGATAAAATAGTCCCATGTATCGTCCATGGATGTGTCACTACAATGGAGGGTTTGGACATTTAAAGTCCTCGTGCTACAAACTGTATGGATATCCCATCCATAGATTCCCTTACATGATAAAAGATGATAACTATAAGGCGAAGTCAAGAGAAGTCTTCCACCATGACTCATATGGACTCATAGCTTACACTTCTCTTAAAGCCTCTACTAGAGAATATTGGTATTTTGATTGTGGCTGCTCCAGACACAAGACCGAAGTTAAAAGATTCATAGTGGACATCAAACTACATGCCACTAACTATGTCACTTTTGGAGATAGGTCAAAGAGTGAAATCAAAGGTATGGGAAAGGTTGATTATGTTGGACAACTGAGTCTAGATAATGTGTTGTTTGTGAAAGGGCTAGCAGCAAATCTGATAAGTATCAGTCAACTCTGTGATTAAGGTCTCAAAGTTAACTTTACTCAATCTGAATGTCTGATTACAAATGATAAGGAAGAAGTGGTTATGAGAGGAACCAGGTCAAAAGACAATTGCTACCTATGTAATTCTCTAGATTGTCTCTCAATATGCTTATA